GAGCTCAGCAGGTCAAGGCTGTGGTGGCCGGGAGTGGCCACTGCACTCCAGTCTGGGCAAGTCAAAAAAAAAAAAAAATGTAGTTTGTTTTTCTTAGAGCACGTTAAGCAGTAGAGTGATGGAGCCAGCTCCAGGGCGGATGGCACACATTCCTTCCTGCTCTATGTTTCATGCCTGTCGAGTAGGGAGTCGTGTAGGATAGTTGTTTCCTCTGTAGAGTGTTGTTTAGAAGGTTATCGAAACAATATATGCAAAAGTGTTGGAAGTATCACTTAACAGAACTTCATTTTCATGATGGCATAACGAAGACAATTCTCCTCTTGAAAATCATCTCAAAACAACCAAAAGAAAGAAAGAAAGAAAGAAACTCAGCTTCTTTGATAAAGCTAGGAGACGTCTGGAGCCCTAGACTACAAATATGTAAATGGAAAGTGAGTGAAAGAATAGCAAATAACCTACCAGGATGGAAGAAGTTCACACACAAGTTCCTAAAGAGAAGGATGCCAGCAAGAAGCAAGCCAGCTTGTCCCATAGAACCCAAGAACTCAGGAATGTAACAGGTCACATCCTGTGGAAGGTGGTGCTGGATGTGTCTGTGTGTGGAGGTCTGGACAGCAAGGGGACTTCTTTGAACATAAGAAGCAGTTGGACTTCTGTTAGTACATTCACCTGCACAGTGAGGTGACTGTTTGCCACCTTAGCTCCTGCTGGAGACAAAAGGAACTGGGTCTGGAGGACTTGATCTTGCCCTTTTAATTCAAGAGAGCCAGGTATAGAGGAGAGCTGAAGTGAAGCATAAAACTCAAAGTAGGGGCTTTAGTGAATGTCCACAAAGTAAATGGTGAGACTGCCCTCCTGCCACAACCAGCCTCATGCACCACCATCTACCTCTCACCCCAGGGGGCAATGTCACCTCCACCTCAGGAAGGGGATTTAAGTCTTTTTTAAGTTTTTCTTTTGAGAAACAACTAGCTCAGATAAAAGTGTTATAGACATAGGCATTTGAAAGCCCCCATTTTAAAAGTTAAACTACCATCTGCGATGGTTAATTTTGTGTGTCCACTTGACTGAGTCATGGTGCCCAGATATTCTGGATGTTTCTGTGGGGGTGTTTTTGGGTGAAATTTACAAATGTAAATAAATTAAATAAGTTGGTGGACTTTGAGTAAAGCAGATTGCCCACTATTATATGGCTGGGCCTCAGCTAATCAGTTGAAGTTCTATGTAAAACAATAGGCTGACCTCCCCAAGGAAGAGGGTATTCTCTAGCAGACTGCCTTCAGACTTCATCTGCAACATCAGCTCTTTCTGGTTTTCCAGCATACTGCCTTTGGACTTGAACTGCAACTCTTTCCTGAATCTTCAGCCTGCTGCCCTTCAGTCAGATTTTGGACTCATCAAGCCTCCACAGCCAATGCCTTAAAATAAGGCATATATGTATACACATCTATACACACACATACACACACACACACACACACACACACATATATATACACACCTTACTGATTCTGTTTATTTGGAGAACCCTGACTAATACACCATCCAGTAACTCTAAAGTGATTTCTGGTATTCGACAGGTTTCTCGTGCACAGAATGTATCTGGTAAGCTTTGTACAACTTATGCCTACAGTAGACTAATGGCCAGAGAATGATCAAATTTTGGAGAAACCACCAGGTTGGAAGACAGAGATCTAAGAGAAGCAAAGAGAAAACATACTAAGAAGCAAAAGAAAATTTCAAAGAAACTGTAATTATTAATACCCTCAGGGAAATAAGAGAAGATGTTGCAGTCGAGAAACAAGAAACATTTGAAGGAACAAGAAGGAGCTCTTGCAAATTAAAAATATGGTAGCTGAATTGAAAAATATTTATGAAAATCTTTGGAAATCAAAGTCAAGTATCTTAGAAAACACACAGAAATAGACACTAGGAGAGGAAAAACAAAAAGAAAGTAAGATTAATCTGGGAAGTCCAACATCTGACTAACATGCGATTTAGCAAGGAAGAACACAAAGTGGTAGAACGAAAGTTTTAAGAAAAACAATAAAAGAATATGCTCTGGACCTGAGGGACATGAGTTGCCACACTAAAAAGACCCACCATGTTTCTGCACAACAAATGGAGGAAAAAAATCCACATCATACCCATTGTTGTGAAAGTTTACAATAAAGGGTTAGAGTCAGTGCTTACAACTTCAGAGAGGAAAAAGCAGGTTATACACAAAGATTGGAAGTCTAAATAATCTTGGACTTTGCAATAGTTTCATTGAAGCGGAAAGATAAATGGAAATGCCTTCCAAGTAAAAATGGTTTACAGCATTGAGTTCTACCCAGAATATTATCAAATACGTGTGGGATAGAACAAAGACTGTTTTAAACATCCAGTCTCAGAAAGCATTAATCCCCCCAGACCCCGATTCAGGAAGCTATTAGAATGTGGTAACTACGAAAACAAGGGGTACACTTAGAAAGAGGAAGGTCAGATGCAGAAAATGGAGATCCATGCAAGAGAGAGTACTGGAATTCCTGGGAAGTTTGGCGGATGGGCATTCCAGGACAGCAGCGGCACAGAAGACCTAGAAAGCAACCAACTAAGAATACAGCAAGAGAAAGGAGAGAGAGATTTGACTGTGAAATTATACTGAGAGACTTTATATGGAGCTATTGGGGGGTGTGAAAAAGCTTACATGGCGGTTCAAAGAACACTAAGCTAATGAAAATGTGAGAAAGTTACTCCAGGAAAAACTAAGTATGAAAGAATATATGAAATTTAATATATTTCTAGTTTTGCTAGCAAACAATATTTGCATAGCGTAGTCTTAAAGAACACAGTTAAACATGGATGTAACTCAAAATGGCGGTCAGAAGAAATTTTCTTGGAGAGTTTAAAGGAGGAAAAGTGTCCTTATCTGCTACAGGGGAAGCCCGTAGGTGAAGTCCAAAACTAGTAAATCCAAAACTAGTAGCCGTACGTGCATCTGGATTTAGAAATATGGAGGTAATATGAATAAGCAACTATTTAAAAAAAAAAAAAAAAGGAACTCACTTGTATCCTGGGCAGGAACACTGGCTATTGGTGTTTAAGATAAGCTTTTCAGCATCTTTTGACTTTCTAAGTTGTTCGTGAGTTATCTGAATAAAAATAACATTTAAAGTAACATTTTGTCTTTTGGAAATACACTTTATGACCCATAGTTTTTTAAAAAGCTAATGCAGTCTGTAAAATATGTCAAGAAAAACAACTAAAGATTTCCTAATAAGTAGATACAGTTATACTGCAGTGAAGTTTAAAAGCATCGATGTTGGCGGCGGCTCTAGCCGGGGCCGCGGAGCCCGTGCCGCTGCCGGGTGGAGCGCGGGTGCAGGGGCCGCGCGCTCTGCAGAGGCCGCGGGCGGCGGGGCGGGGCGGGGCGGGGCCGCTCTTCTGCAGGCGGTCCGGAGTCTCCCGAGGGCCTGCGGCAGCGTCGATTTCCATTGCCAGAGAAGTATGAAAAATCAGGTCGGCCAGCCCTCGCAAAACCTCTCCACGGCAGAGAAGGACCGTGGGTTTTGAATAAGCTGTGAGCCAGAATGCGACGCGCCTTGCGAGCAATCCGATGAGACCGAGCATGGCAGGAAAGCTCGCCCTTTGGTGGAACGGCCTGGAGGATGCACCCCTTGCACGCATGCTCTCGAGGGCGACAGTGAACTCTTGTTCGTCCTAAACTCACCTGGGGATTGGAGTGGTCGTTGATTATGGAGTCCTCAAAGCAGGGGCCCAATAAACAGGAATTGAATTGAATCTTGGTTTTTAAAAAGCATCTACAGTCAGCATTTCCAGTGAATACATGCCTGAGGCTGAAGAGATTGCACTGCTGGCATCTGAAGTAAAAGTAAACTGGAAGCAGTTTAAATAAGGCTTGATCAACCAACAAACACTTGAAAAAAATGCTCAGCCTCCCTACTCCTCAGAGAAATGCAAAACTACGATGAGACAGCACCTAACATCGGTCAGGAAGGCCATCATTAAAAGGTCAAACACAACAGGTGCTGGCGGCTGCAAAGAAAAGGGGACGCTTCTACACTGTTGGTGAGAATGCAAACTAGTACAGCCTCTATGGAAAGCAATGTGACGATTCTTTAAGAACTAAAAATTGAGCTTCCATACAATCCAGCAACCCCACTTCTGAAAATACACAGAGGAGCATAAATCGCTCTACCAAAAACTCACCTACACATGCATGTTTATTCCCAAACTATGCACAGTAGCAAAAACATGGAACCAACCCAGATCCCATCAAAAGTGGACTGGATAAAGAAAATGTGGTACGTATACATGAAGGAATATGAGGCAGTCATAAAGAAGAAAATCGTGGCCTTTGCAGCAACATGGATTCATCTGGAGACCATCATACTAAGTGAGCTATCACAGAAACAAAGAACTGAATACCACGTGTTCTCACTCATAAGCGAACCCTGGTCACCGGTCACACTAGCACAAGGGTGGGATTGGCAGATGCTGGACCTGCTGGGAATAAGGGAGGGAGGAGGAAGGGGGCATGTGGTGACCCACTGGGTACCTGGTCCACCGTTAGGGGGAGAGAGGGCCAGCTAGATGCCCAAACTTCACCTGCTTGCAACTTACTTATGTAGTAAGTCCTCACTGTACCCCACAACTCTAAAATAAAAAAATAAAAAATAATTAAAATATAAATAAATAAATAAATAAAGCATCGATGTTCCTGAAATTATCTTTTTCATGTTTAACAAAATTAGTTTTTGTTAAAGAAGTGAGATTTTCGTTTGTTTTTTTAAATTTCATTTTATTTTATTTTAAAGATGTGGGGTACAATTCAGAGTTAGGTATACAAACGTTGGTTATGCAGGTACCCTTGTTGATGAGGTATGCCCCTCCCTCCCCTAGCAGTTTCCCTCAACTGCCAATCCCACTGGCCCTCCCCTGGCAGTTTCCCACTACTGCAATCTCTTTCTTACAGTATTATGATAATTGTTCAAGGTTTGCTTATGAGTGAGAACACATAGTACTCTGTTATTTGTTTCTGTGATAGATCACTGAGTGTGATCAACTCTAAATCCATCCAACTTGCTGTGAAATCCATGTTTGTCCTTCTTTATGGCTGCATAATATTCCATTGTGTATATGTACCACATCTTTTTAATCCAGTCCAGCTTCTATGGGCAACATGGTTGGTTCCATGTTTTTGCTATTGTGAATAGAGCTGCAACAACCATATGTGTGCAGGTATCTTTTTTGTAGAATGATTAGAGGTCCTCCGGGTATATACCCAGTAGGGAAATTGCTGGGTCATATGGAAGGTCAATTTCTAGTTCTTTCAGAAATCGCCACACTGTCTTCCAAAGAGGTTGCACTAGTTTGCCTTCCCACCAGCAGTGTAGAAGCGCTCCTTTTTCTGTGCATCCTCGCCAGCATCTGTTGTTGTTTGTTTTATTAATGATGGCCATTCTTACTGGGGTTAGGTGGTATCTCAGTGTGGTTTTGATTTACATTTCTCTGATGATTGGTGAGGCTGAGCACTTTTTCATGTGTCTGTTGACTGCCCATATATCTTCTTTTGAGAAGTGTCTATTTATGTCTTTTGCCCACTTTTTAATGGGGCTGTTTTTTTCCTTTCGGTGCATTTGAATTCCTTGTAGATTCTAGATGTTAGGTCTTTGTCAGATACACAGTTGGCAAATATTTTTTGCCGTTCGGTGGGCTGTCTCTCTGCTCTCTTGACTTTTTTTTTTTGCTTTGCAGAAGCTTGTTAGTTTGATGAGGTCCCACTTGTCTATCTTATTTCTTATGGCATAGGCTCTTGGGGCACTGATCAGGAATTGGTTGCCAGTTCCAGTTTCCATAAGCGTGTCTCCTATGGTTTCTAAAATTCTTATAATTTGAGGTTTTAAGTTTAGTTCTTTAGAGTTAATTAGAGTTAATTTTTGTGTATGGTGAAAGGTAGGGGTTCTGTTTCAATCTTCTGCATGTGGTCAGCCAGTTTTCCCAGCACTGGATTTCGTTTTATTTAAGAAAGTGTCATGTTGTAGATTTTCTTTGACTGTAATAGAATAATAAGAATTTTAAAGTAATGGTGTATTTCATTTCACAATTGTAGGTGTAATTTATATCACCTGGGAACATTTGCTGCTAAAGCAGATAAAAATTAAAGCAATGGCCAGAGACTGATTCTCAACCCCAGACTTTGCCAATACTGTAGATTTGTGTGGTTCTTTACTGTCACACCGAAGACATTTAATTGACTTAGGCTTGCCATTTGGTGGTTACCACCAAGTTTTACAAGAGAATCTGTGCAGTAACTGAGACTCTTTGAATGTTTGTACTTGTTGCAGTCCTTTAAAAAACAAGACTTCAGAATTATCAAGTATTTTTTTAGTCTTAGTACCTGTAGTAAAACTTTAACACAATTCCAGTAATAAATTCTAATATGTAGCATTTATTGAGTGCCTTCAGCAAGTAAAAGCTGTTAGTTATTACATACAAATTATTGCATGAAGGACTGAAGCATGCATTTTTTCTTCTTTACTCCTCACAAAAATCTTTGGAGTTCAGGACTGTGAGCATCCTATTTTAGAGATGAGGAAACTGAGGTTAAATTATCTACCTGAGGTGAAAAAGCCAGCAAATAAATTTGGGAGAAGATGGGCACTTGGCGTTTTAGGAGGCAAGAGCCACTTGGGAGGAAACCAAGGTTTAAAAGCAAAACAACAAAACAAGATTCTGTGTAAAGTCCTAAATTCACCTGAGAGTCAATCTGGTCTGGTTTACTACTCTCTAGTATGATGGTCCTAATTCATCAAATAAAATATAAAATATGTTCCATACATTATAGCCAACACATTTTAGAAAGATTGCAAAAAGAGCTGAAGCAAAACAAATTCTGCCACAATCTTAAATAACCAGATACTGGAACTCATTCTAATTTTATACACTCTTCAGTTTTCTGTGTAATTGATGCTTTATTATCTTAGCCATGATACAACGGATAAAAAATAAGCTTCTGAAAAAGTAAACTAAGTATTTTATTTTTGTTTGTTTAAAGCCGGCAGCAAAAGTGGACCAAGATACCTTGACAGAAATGGTGAAGCCTAGTATTGACTATGTGCGGCACAAAAAATTTCGGTCTGGGAATTACCCGTCATCACTGAGCAATGAAACAGATCGGTTGGTGCACTGGTGCCACGGCGCTCCAGGGGTCATCCACATGCTTATGCAGGCATACAAGGTCAGTGCTCTGCTGGCCTCACAGCCAGCCACTGTGCAGAGAACCAGGTTTCACCACCAGGTTTTCAGTTTGGTTTTGGTAAGCACATTTGATTGCTTACCGAAAACCTTTTAGAATGAATGCTTTCACAGAATAAAATCCCTTTATTCCACTGTTCATCACCACTGTAATTAGTGCTACAAGTATATGTGTGTGTGTGTTTTAACAGGGCTTATAGTTGTGTATAAATGAAGGCTTACATGACACAAAAGTGATGATTTTCTCTCTAATGAATATGTGTCCAGTAAAGCAGTAAACAGAATTATAAAGAGTGTCTTTTGTTTGTTTACATCATTTTATTTTCTTGCTTGATTTTGTCTTTATTGTTGGATTATTATCATTAATTACTATCATTATCCAAGAGCTTTTAAATTTTGGTTTATAATTGTTACATTATTCACAAGGCATAGATGTGGTATTCAAATTTGTATACATCTAGAGTACCATAGGAAAATAGGCAGTACCTTCAACAGAATGATTTTAGTAGGCTCTAAGTATTTTGGGGCGCAATATTAAGAATGCTATTGATATCTGCCCTGGACTAAGATTTACCATTTAAGTTGAAAGCAAACAATGCTTCTTTTGCAATTTTATTTTTCATTTTCATCTTTATTTTTAATAGTTGATGTTAAGGATGTTTCTTATATATTAAATAAAACTATATCACTGACACAATAATTGCTCCATTCAATACAGTATTTTGACAGAGTCTCCTAGTTTTGGATAAATAGTTGGAATTAATGGAGTAGAACTCATATTTCTACCTAGAAATAGCAAAAGTAGTGAGACCTGAATCAATTTTATTTTTCTTTTATGACTAACTATAATAAATTATTTAGAAAAATTGTAGGGAATTAACTTTTGTGATTTAGGCTAATCTCTCAGGATTTTTTAGTCCTCCTACACCACCACCAAAAATATTCAGATAATAATATAAAAGTCAGATATGAGCATTCAAGAAAATAACTCAGAAGTTCTGATGTTTAGTGAGAGCAAAACGCAATGAAATATACTCTTTGAAAAGTAGAAGAGTTATCTTACCAATACCCCAGCTTTGAAATTGAAACATAATTCTTTTCAAATCACTGCCTCTCCTTTAGTGGGTTTTGGAGCAGTTGTAACTTCAGGGTCATAGAGAGAAATCTGTAATATTATAAATGCCCAACAATAATGTGTGGGCATTACAAACAGGGGCACTCTGATAACGCTAAAATCTGAAGGATGCTATTTGTCAAGCCTCTTTTCCCCTTTCACTTTAACAAGGATCAACTAATGCAGCTGCATGCTCCTGGTGGCTGATAATCTCTGCGGCTGGGAGCATACTCTGCTTCGGCCACTGACACTGTGGACAGCAAGCAGTGTCGGGAGCCGGGACTTCAAGTGGAGCCCTTCGCAGTTCCCTTTCCTTTACCCTGCTGACGGTGGCTACCACCTGTTTCTTACTAGCAGAGAGCACAGTACTGCTCTGCTGCCCACAGGCCACGGAGGATTCAGACCCGCTGCTCCCTGCAGGGCTTCTGCACAGAATGCCATTTGAACCACAATCCCTGGCCTACTGATTCCAAAACAGAAGTGTCTTTCATCTAGAAAGCATAGAGTCAAAGATGTTAAGACCCACATTTAGTCGTTGAAACTTAATTTTGTCCTCTACATTACGATTCTCAAGCATATGGAAGAGGAGGACTATCAGAATCTTCTGGGGGCAGGAAGGCGTTAATGGTAATTTGCAAAAGCATATATATTGTGTATTTCAAATTATCTAGAGGAGAAGATTTGAAATGTTCCTAGCACAAAGAAGTGATAAATATTCAAGGTGATGGAGATCCAATTTGATCATTGCATATTTTATGAATGTATCCTATAAATATGTATAGTGATTGTGTGCCAGTAAAAATGTTTCAAAAAGAAGAAGCACATATAATATAGTTTTACAGCTGGGGGTAAAAAATATGTCTTCTTCATAGTATGAATGACAGAAAAAAAGTTTAGACGTAACCTTTCTGCTTGATGGGGACACATAGGCAATGAGCTGTATCTTCTGCTTCTCTGTCTGTGCCATGAGAAGAGTGTGGATGTGTGTTTGGCCAAGGCAGGAGGAGGGAGCATAGGCAAAGCTAGAGAAACACAACTCTAGATGGTATTTTCTTTCAAGTTATAGCTAAATTAAGAGGGTCTCTACTTATTAAAGCTGTCTCTTAAAACTAGGTAGGAAGTGTTTAAATTTTTTGTAATAACAAGCTTTAACAGTTTATCTTTCTGGCCTATAAGGTAATAAGTTCAAGCATGCTTATGAAGGTGTATAGCTACTTGAAAAAATATTAATATCCTTCGCAAGTAAAACTGTAAGTTGACTCTAGATTCATGAAATTTGTTTTCCCTCTCTATAGATGCTAATCATGTTTTAGTATTTAGTTAGGGTAATTTTTCTGTGTATGAGCATGTATTGTTTGCTAATTTAAAGTTATGTGGTATTTTAGGTACTCTTGAAAAAAGTCAGTTTTAATAATATTCTATGTTGTCTTAGGAATTTTGTTAATTGTAATTTATTTTCTAACAAATTACATTTGTGGAACCTGTAACTGTTATTTTGGTTAGAGTCAGCTCTTGGTGATCTGACGGTAAATTATGGGTAGTGGTAGCAAATTCTTCCTCCCAAAGCATGTTTTGGCCTCAGGCATTCTCTATTTGTGTGGGTTCAGCTGCTATAAACAAACACCGACACCAGTCAAATGAAATTGTATTCGGAAAGGTAAATAGGATGTCTAATGAAACTAAACCCAAGTGATATCAGAGTAATCCTTAAATTTTGTGCTGAATGTGGGAAACAGTCATACAATCCTGTTACTGCACCTACAGGCCTCTGGAAATCCTAGTTGGGACTAATTACAGATGCCCCCTGGTGGCCAACTGTTGCATGGACATCAGAAAGTGCTTCCATATAAATTATGTTCCAAAAGCATATTTGCGAGTTGGTTATTTGAGACATGGAATGTTTTTTCTGGGAGTGAACATCAGAATCATGTGCAGAGATTTTTTTTCAAATTTTTTTTCATTCTTCCTCGGCTGCCTTCCTAATTTTAAGCATAATTTAAATAAACATACCTTAGTTTATCAGTTTGTTTTCCATTTGTTTCCAGTTTTTGACTAGTAAGCTGCTATGAACGTTCTTGTGTGGGTCTTTCTGTACATTTTCGTTTCTTCTGGGTTAATATCCAGCAGTAGAATTGCTGAGTCATAGAGTAAGTGTGTTTAGTTTTATAAGAAACTGATAGACCTTTCCCCATTTTACATTTCACCAACAACGTAAGAGAGTTCTGGTTGCTCTACATTTTTGCCAACCCTTTGTGGGGATGTCTTTTTTTTTTTTTGAGTTGGAGTCTCACTCTGTCGCCCAGGCCGGAGTGCAGTGGCACACTCACGTACACCCCAGCCTTGGCCTGCTGGGCTCCGGCAATCCTTCCGCCTTCCAAGTAGCGAGAACTACAGGTGGGCGCTACCATGGCTGGCTAATTTTTTTGATTTATTTGTAGAGATGAGGTCTTGCCAAGTTGCCCGGGCTGGTCTCAAACCCGTGGGCTCAGGCAATCCACTTCCCTCAGCCTCCCAAAGTGCTGGGATGACAGTCTGAGCCACTGAACCCGGCTGTCTTTTTTATTTTAATTATTCTGGTGGTTATTTTATTGTGGTTTTAATTTATAGCTTTTTAATTGACCAGTTATGTTGAGCAATGTTGCTTGTATTTGTGGGTCATTTGTATATCCTCCTTTGTTCACATTGTTGTATTCTTTTTGTTTTGTCTTTTTATTATTATTGTACGAGTTCTTCATATGTTCTATTAACGTCCTTTTGTCAGATATATATTTTACAAATAATTTCTTCCATTCTGTAGTTTACCTAATTATATTCTTTATAGTATCTTTTGATTAATAGAGTTTTAAATTTTGATAAATTGTATTTTTTCAGTGTTTTCTTTTATTATGATTATATTCTGTGTCTTATCTAAGAAACTTAGCTAACCCCAGGTTATACTGGTAAGCTTTATAGTTTTTAGATTTTTCCATTTAGGCCTATGATCTATATCAAATTAAGTTTTGTATATTACATGAAGAAATGAGTGAGGCTATTTTTTAAAACTATATCTGGTTGTTTCTGTACCATTTGTTGGAAATATTTTATTTTTCCTATTTGATTGGATTTCTTTATCAAAAATCAAATGACCTATTAAGTGGTCTATTTTTTAACTCTATTCTGTTACTTTGGCGTATTTATCTGTATATTACCATGTTATTTTGCTTACTCTAGCTTTATTTTTAAATTTTGAAGTCTAATAATTTGAGACCTCCAACTTTGCTCATCTTTTTTAGAATCACTTTGAATATTCTAGGTCCTTTGCATTCCCACATATTTTTTAGAATTAGCTTATCAACTTCTAAAAACAAAGCCTATTGGGTTTTATGAGTCAGAGTACATTGAATCTACAGATTAATGTGGGTCAAATTGACGTCTTAATTACTACTTTCATTACTCTTCCTGTCCACAAATATGGTATATCTCTTCATTTATATTTTCTGTCAGCAGCGTTTTATAGTTTTTGCTGAACAGGTCTTGCACATCTTTTGTTAAATTTGTTTCTAGATATGTCATTTATTTACATTTCCCAATTGTTGATTGCCAGTATGTAGAAATAAAATTGTTTTTATTGACTTTATATCCTGTGACCTTGCTAAATACACATAACAGCTATAGGAGCTTTTGGTAGATTTCTTAGGATTTTCTGTGTACACACATCCTATCTATGAATAAAGACACTTGTTTTCTTTCCAGTCTCTAAGCCTTTCACTTCCTTTTCTTACCTGACTACTATTGGGATCTACAGTACAATAGTGAAGAGAAGTGGTAAAAGTGGCCATCTTTGCTTTGTCTACAATCATAGAAAAACCATTAAATATTTCATCATCAAA